GGACCTTCCAGGGGTGCGAGCGCCGCTGTTGACACCGAAAGTGCTGTTGGCCTTGTGGTGTGCGGCATGGACTTGAGGCCGATGATCGCGGAGATGGTCAAAGGTCTTCAGCGCCTTCGTCACCTCACTGATGCGTTCCGCATAAGCACTCCGATGGAAGCTCATGGCGATGAGTTTTATCAGGACTTGTTCGGCGCAAATGATGAGCGTCAAGAAGAAGATGAACTGCACCACCTGGTACACACGGTACATCCAAGGTGCTCTGGATTCCGTCTTGGGGTTGATCTGAGAGTAGATGTCGTAGATGTCGGAGGAGAGCAGGGCGAGCGCGCCCCAGCTCAGAGCGGCGTAAAAGACAAACTTGATGTATTGCTTGATGACGTTGTAAAATTCTGCGGCGCTGAGCACCCGCTGGCTGATGTTGCCCCACACTGCACGGATCAGGCCCAGCGCTACGGCGGGGACGATCTCGACGAGAGCGTGTAGCCACCAGCTGAGGTGCAGCCCTACGGCGGCCCATAGCGTGAACGTCTGTACGCAGTCTGCGATGTAGTCATTGCGATCGATTTGCGCTTGCGATGCGCCAGCAGCTTTGGGCCTGTAGACGAGCTGAACGACGATGAAGGGGACGAGAAGGATGCCAGAGATGATGAGATTTCCCAAAAACGTAGTGGCGAGCCATCGAATAATCTTTGAAGGCGCAAAGCGGCCTCTACGCTTCTTGAATGCTTCCAGCTGTCGCTGTTCTTCTTCGTACTTGGCCTCCTCTGCCACGCCTTCATCGTCGCTCCAATCGAAGTCGTCGTAGTAACCGTCGTCCGACGCGATGGAAGCGAAGCTGTCTTGGCGCGCGAAACCTGGTCGAGGAGGACCAGTGGAGTCTGTACCACTGGCAGCGCGGCCGGCGCCCGCGCCCATGAAGTGACCTTCCTTGTCCGTCTTTAATTTGAGGTTGAGGTTAGGTGGATAGTCGGAGCGAGCGCCAAGGCCTTCGGGCTTGCTGAGGTTGCGGCTGCGCATGTCGCCCAGTGGGTCCGTCACCGCGATACGAGGAGCTCTAATCGTGGTGCCTTGACCACCACCACCACCACCACCAGCAGCAGCAGCGGCATCATCGGCGGAAGAGGGAGGCGAAGGAGCTTTGCCCTTATCCTGAGGATAAGCAGAGCCTTGACCTGCCTGGACTGTGCCGAGGTCGGTTCTGGAAGCATAGTTGGGAGGCATGGCTGCGAAGGATGACGAGGCACCAAAGGACGTTGCGCCGCCGTGATGAGCGTATGGTGGAGAGGCTGTCGCAGCGTCGTGTCTGCGAGCAGCACCCGATTCAGAGCCAGAAGAGAAGCTGTCGCTATCTCTGGCCGGCACGTTATCGAAGCGATGGCTCATGACCGCGGATGTTGATCGTCGTGAAGC